GAGGCAATCAACTGGGTTGAAAGACTCGGGACGAGAAGACAACGTCTCGGGCGTCTGAGACTCTGAGATGTGGAAATGCAAGTGTCATGGAAGGTGCAACTCCCTTACAGACGGACCCATCCGGAGCGGTTCTATGTACACGCGCAAACCTGGAAGGCACCGTGGCACCTAGAGAGAAGGAAGCACTGACTGACGGGAGGATGGGGTGTTGAACCGCACGTGTTCGAGAAGGGTCTGTAACCAGGAAAGCAAGTGCAAGTCTGACATTAATTACAGCCGAGGAAGGTGACCATGTCAGAATAGCGAGTTAGTGCTGCCGTAGTCTGTAGAAGACGCAAAGAAGCTGCGCTAATGCATAAGCTTCCCTCCCAGGGAATCAAGTTTCGTTTCTTTTCTTTCCTCCTGCGGCTCCTAGCTTATTTTCAAGATCAGTTCAAATTGCAGCGTTGAGATTGAGAAATGGTGTGTCCGTACGGATACCTCAGATCCATAACCAAAGACATCAAATATAGTCACATAGGGCGGTATGCCAGTTCTGATTGTCTGTCCCAATAATTTTGGAGGCGTGTTACTGTTACTCTATCACATGGCAAGAGACCAGGACCATGAGGTTGATAGACGTGATGATAACGGTGCTACTGCCACGAACGCATAGAGACATCATTTGAACCCTGGCGACAAGACCTGACCGAGACTTGCCTTAGCTGCGGCTGTATGGTCAAGGCCCGAAGTGTGAGACTATGAGACTGAGGCGAGGCCAAAGTGGCTTGGCTCCCCTTTCGGAGCAATTGTCCAATTCTCTCAACCAACAGCAAGAGCCTCCCTCTACTTGCCTATCACGGCACGGCAGCGATAGCACAATCGAGTTTGAATGGTGGTGATGGGACTGGATTCGTCAACGGCTGCACTGGTTACAAGGTACATGTGCGGATACAGCCAAACGGGACAGGAGCTGCATGAGCTGCAGTCCAATGTAATATCGAGTGCCTGCCACAGTAGGTATACCTTACCTATCGAGTCCCATTAGGACTAGGCGGTGGCACGGGGGTAGTGTACCTGAAGGTATCCATAGCAAGCGGGACACTTTCATGATGGTTCCTTGACAAGAGTCAAGCCTCTCTTTGCAGGCAGGACAACCAAGACTCACTTGATTTTCATAAGTGTTGCTATGCTCGGCCAGGCAGAAACGACCTTTCCAACACTGTCAGCAGTGCCATCGCGGCTCGCGGTCTTTGGGCCTGCTCTCCCACTGTTGTTTGGGTTCTGAGTTCAGAGGAGAGAGGGCCAGATGCCGTGGTGCCTCGCCTTGGTCACTTCGTTGGTGAGATGCCAAGGACCAGAACGTGGGTGAGCGGGCAGAGCTTGATTTGCGGCCCCTATCCAAGATTGGCAGCACTAATATTAGTCCCATCGGAGCCCCTGAGAGGGTGGCGTACCACGGCCGACGCTGCGCGAGTCTGGACAAGTGGCTCCCCCCTCCATCCTGCTCTCTCCCTCACAGTGGCAGAGTGGGTACCGTATCCCTGTGCCCAATACATGCGGGCTGCGCTCCGGCCAAGGTGCCACCACCTGCTGGCGGGTAATCCGCTCCACTCCACCAAGTATCCGTGACTGTATATCGCCTGCCAGATCCTGGATTGGGCGGGCTTGATCGCGTCAACGTGAACCTCAATTTCCAGAACCAGAGCAGCAGCAAGGAGAGAGAGGGTACCTATGCGACACCACACAGACCTGCCACACAGTGTACGGTAGACACCGCAGAGAAGGAAACGAAAAGGCAGAGGAGAGAGAGGGGCGGGAAATAGAGACGAAGAAATCTTTTTTTTTTCTCTCACGCCCATCGCTGCTAATTGCCGGGGGCCATCCATATCTTTGCTGCACTACAACCTCGCCTACCGCCCCCCTCCTCTTTTTCTTTCCTTCTTCCCCTTTCCCTTTCCAACACCCTCCAAACAGCCGCAGTCCTCTTTTTCAGACCTCTATTAAATTCTGCTCGGAGGGTCGTGGTAGTCAAGAGCTTCCTGTTTTCGGCTTTTCTTTCGATTCTCCTTCTTCCTTCACCACAGGTTACAGATTCCCAAAGCCGTGCTCAGCCACATTCCAAGGTTTGAACCGGCTCAGGTACCACCACAGGTGTCCGTTAACGTCTTAACTTTGGGACCCCCCCATCGCATACTGTTAAAGTACCTGTCGCCTACCCCACGACACCTTTAACGAGTTGCTTGGCCGTCCCGTCCATTCGCTCGCTCTCATTTTTGCGCGTCTCGTCTTTTTTTGCTCTCGAGCGGTATCAACTTGCTCCTACATCAACATCACCGCCCAATCTCGACGACTTCATCAAACCCTCCGTTTGCCTCAACCACTCGTCCTTTACTTCCTTTTCGCCAATCCGCCCCCAAAACCGTCACAATGGGTGCAGACGAGAAGACACGCGTCTCAGGCGAGGTTCCCCGTGGAGAGAACGGGTCTATCCTGCCTACCACGAACCAGGACGCCGAGAAGTCCTCTCCCCAATCCAAGGGTCCTCAGATTCATCCCGCTCTCTACGTCATGTAAGAATCCAACCATTCGACTCACGGATGCTGTGATGGTTCGCTGACCTCCTCCTCTCCCAGTGTCTGGATCTCGCTGTCCTCATCCGTCATTCTGTTCAACAAATGGATCCTCGACACCCTCAACTTCCGTAAGCCGATCGAGACGGAAACTTCGAGCTTTGAACAGCACGCTGATTGACCACAGGCTACCCGGTTATCCTGACGACCTACCACTTGACCTTCGCGACCATTATGACCCAGATTCTTGCTCGCTGGACCCACGTTCTCGATGGACGCAAGTCGGTTAAGATGACTGGCCGCGTGTACGTGCGTGCCATCATGCCCATCGGTGTCTTTTTCAGCTTGAGCTTGATCTGCGGCAACTTGACCTATCTGTACCTGTCGGTCGCTTTCATCCAGATGCTCAAGGCCACGACTCCCGTCGCAGTCCTGTTGTCCGGATGGGCCCTTGGTGTCTCCCAACCCAACCTCAAGGTCTTCCTCAACGTCTCCGTCATCGTCCTGGGTGTCATTATCGCTTCCATTGGCGAGATCAAGTTCGTCTGGATTGGTGTCATCTTCCAGATTGGTGGTGTCATCTTCGAGGCACTTCGTCTTACCATGGTCCAGCGCTTGCTCAGCTCTGCCGACTACAAGATGGACCCCCTCGTCTCCGTGTACTACTTTGCTCCCATCTGCGCTGTCATGAACTTGGCCGTCGCTCTCATCTGGGAGATTCCCAAGGTCACCATGGACCAGGTCTACAACGTTGGCCTGTTCACTTTCTTCCTGAACGGTCTCTGCGCCTTCTTGTTGAACGTGTCCGTCGTCTTCTTGGTAAGTTTTGCTGCCTCCAGGATTGGCCAATCATCGTTGCTAACTCTCCACCTAGATTGGCAAGACCTCCTCCCTGGTTCTCACTCTCTGCGGCGTCCTCAAGGACGTCATGTTGGTTGCCGCCTCGATGGCCATTTGGGGCACCCAGGTGTCTGGTCTCCAGTTCTTCGGCTACAGCATCGCTCTTGGTGGCATGGTCTACTACAAGCTCGGCTTTGAGCAGATCAAGGGATACATGGGGGAGGGCGGTCGCCAATGGGCCGAGTTCGGTCAGCGCAAGCCGATTCTTCGCAAGCTCACCATCATCGTGTTCTCCGCCTTTGTACTCTTCACAATGCTTGGCGGCCTAGCACCGACGTACGCTCCTGAGTACGACCCCCACAACCTGATCAACGAGGTCAACAGCCGCTTCGGCAGCAGCAGGGCATAGGTTATAGGATAGACGGCGACCCCATCTTTTCTTTGGCCTGTCATTTTCCTATCTGTGGGCGTAGAGATGTGATGATACCAACTCTCTCCGCGACGATTACCCTGTTCTGAGTACATATTACGAACTTCTTTTCACCCGTGTGCCCTGTTGACCTCTCCTTTTTTTCTTCTCCTTTTATTAAAATCCGGAAAACGGAACCAACTATTGTTTGCTTCGGGAGTGACACCCGTGTACAGCTATAGAGCAACGGCGCAGAGCGCAAAAGGGTCCAGGTTGCACAGCCTGCATCATGAAGTTCTAATCTGATGTACTCTAGATGGAGGAGGATATAGACATGTACGTACGCAATGATACACCAAACTTTGAGCAAAAAAGGGGGAAACTCGGAACAAGACTGGCAGTGACCGACGTGATGTGAAATGCGCGTGGATTGGGACTCAGACAAGCCGTTTAGAAATACCACTGACTTGATTCACTTGGGACTGTTTGCGAAGCAGTGCACGGGAATAGAAGCTGGGGAAGAGCGTTGCTGGCTACCCACAGCCAGAGGAGACAGCGGTATGACTTAGGGCGGCCAAAAAACAATTTCAACAGAGGTCGTCTTCAGGTCAGCCGTCGTTCAATACGCCACAATGTAACGCGCGGCCTAAACAGCAATAACGTCAACGTCTGACTTGGTTCGCAGTCGGGCCTTGTCATGTAATCAAGGGTTGTTGGTTGAGTACATTATTTCGTGCAACAATCAATGTGTGTCGGCCGTGGTAAGCGGTGGTGGGCACCGGATACATAATTGTCGGCGTTAAATTATGCAATTGAAGCACGCAGCAGATGATGAGCGGCATCACGACCTGGCTTGGCTGGAAAAGTTGATTTGACTTGCTTATTTCATGTTCCATTGATCATGGCCATCCCACGGCCGAGGGCTGAATCATACCCATCAGTCATCATAGACCCTTGACCCCTTTTTTTCTCATCTTGTCTATCACTCTCCGGTCACAGCAGCAGCGGCGGCATTCCATTGTTGAGGTATCACAGGCAAACGTCTTGATTTCAATGGTTTCTCATTGGGAGCCCTTAAACCGAGGACCTCAAATGCCAATTGATGCTCTTTACAAGCCAGCCCAACTCCCCGACCTGTTGACGATTGCAGAAAACGGTTTTCCCTTTAAAATCCTGCGCAAGGGTGTTAGAACATCGTTTCATGGGCCGACGCGAAGATCATCCTCGTGAGAACCGAGGTACCACACGACCGATGGAGGGAGTGACATACTAAGAGGCGTGAAGAACCATCTGTTCTTTCCGCTCGTGTAACGCTCCTCCAGAACCTTCTTCACCGTCTTCTTGGCGTCCTCACGCTGGGTGACCTCCTTGAAGGTGTCGTTGCTGACAACACCCTTGAGACCCTCGAGCTCCAGGGTGTAGCGGGTGGGCATCAAGTGGTTGTAATTGACGAGCTTGACGAAGGGCTTGATCTTGTTGCGCTTCTCCTGGCGAGTCTTGCTCATGCGGCGGGTGATCTTGGAGGGGTAGCGCTCGATGCCGGCGACCAGGGCGTGGCCGAAGGGGTGAGCCTTGTTGCCAGAGTCGACAGGCTGGATGATGACGACCTGCAGAGGAAGGAACGTTAGCAATCGCTCGTGTTCGTTGTGTGTATTTGTGTGTGTGGCCAAGTGTCCAGAGTCCACTGGCGTTCTCCTCCGCAGTAATGTTCGTAGATGCCCTCAAATATCGGACGCTCGAGGGGGGAAAAGTGTTTGGTCGGCCGGTGTTCCCTCCTTCTCTTGTTCCCATTCGTAGTCGTGTCGTGTAATCGTCGCCATGTTTTCCTCCAAGCCATCCCTGACCAAACACATTTACACCCCTCGGCGTCGAAGTTGGAGGGTTTTTTTCATCCTCGCGCCCCTCATTCTCGCGAAGAAGTTGGGGGGATAGTACTGCGGCGGGTAGGCTTCTCGGAATTTTCGTGTAATCGTACCTTCTTGCCGGCATAACGGCCGTGGGTGATGATGGCGACTCGGCCGACCTTGAGGAACTTCATTTTGACCTGCGCTGTCGGTGGGTGCTGGGCGTGCTGGGCGTTGGTGAAAGTTGCTGCGACGTGAGATCCTGGATTTGATAACCTAGAGGAAATTTCAAAATTGATCCGTGGGAGGGAGCGACCTAAGCATGTGCCCGGTCACGTGGTCTGATTTGTGGAGAGTAGGCGAATCAATCGAGGTGGGTGGTGTTGGAAGTGGGTCGTTTGGAAGGACGCTTGACCGTCCTTGACTGTGTCCGCGCTGGAGCTCTAATGGTACGGGTACCTACCGTGTACGTCCATAATTTTGCTCCACTTCCCAAGCTGACCACGGAGCCCTTCGCGAACTTTCTCGGATCCTTTCAATAACAGCCAGACCACACCCCTCGAATAACGCGACCTCCCGTGGCTTCGATACACCAACCGTACACTATGGCTGCTCCTCCTGCGTACATCATCTCCAAGGTCGCCGACCCCATCTTCGCCTTGGTGATTGGCCTTGGTGCCGCTGCCACCAGAATCAATCGCGAAGAGAAGGAAAAGGGCAAGACTACGCAGGAGACCATAGCGGCGGCCAAAAGGTACGGCAGTTCTCATCAGTACGTTGGCGCGAGTCCTGGCTAATGAGCTTGAACTCTAGACGTCTCGGACTTCTCAAGGCTTCCACATAGGCACTCATCGTCACAGCCATTAACAAGGGAGGAGACGCGACGCCTCAATCGCATTGGCTTGCATTCAAGTTATTGATACCTATATATACCCTTTACTCGCCGTAGGACGGCCCATACTCCTTCTTCATCGCCTCCCGAACCATCTGCCCGCACAGCTTCGCTGTGGGATTCGTGCTCACTGCCAGACCCTTGGCAATCTCATTGCCGTATCTTCCGCCATAGGCAAAGTCCCGGGATGCCGCCTCTTCGAATGCGAGCTTCGTCCAGTGAGCTTCCCGTCTCCCCTCCGCGACCTGAACGCTGTGCTCTTCGACAAGCTTAGCAGTCATGTGGTAGATGGCGGCGCGCTGGGTGTACGCCAACGACAGGGTTTTGGCTGCTTGAGGCGACATCGCGCCTAACATCGTACGCGGCGTCAAGAGGGAGATGGACTTCTCAGTGTCTTCCAGGGCGATCTTGGAGTACTGGACCAACTCGGCGCTCTCGGGCGCATGGACGAGTCGCTGGGGCGTTGCTGGTGCTCCCGCCAACAGCATTGTGTCTCCGTACAGCCGCCTCAATGCTTGTACGCGGTTGTTCCTTGCGCTTGCATAGTTGGGATACTCTTCAATGAAGTCGTCGAGCTTCGAGAGAAGGCTCTTGTACTCGTGAACCGGCTCAGATACAGTTCTAGGTCGCAATCCTGCCAATTGAAGTTCGAGTTGCTGCATGGATAGGACGATTTCACGTTCCTTCTGTATAACACGCTCATAGACGGCCGTATCAGCGATATGAGGATCTCTGGGTAAGGCTGGGTCGAGGAGGACGTTGGCCGAGGGATCGGATTCGGGGTCCTTGATCTTGTCAAGTACGTTTACGTCTCGTCGAGTCAGGTCCACAGAAGCCATCTTGCAGTATTGACTTGGGGAGCAAGCGGTTTTGAAAAAGATTGCTGATGTTCCTCGTCGAAGGAACAGATTCGAGATGAAGTCAGACTTTTTCGATGCGTGACGAATGGCCGACCACAGTTTCTTCCAATTTGACAGTGACTTGCGCCACGAGGACTCTAAGGCGACACAGCAACATTTATCAGACGCAGCACTTTGCGAACGGCTCCAGCGGGGAAGGGAGGTAGCCGAGCAGCACGTCCTCACATTCCGCACTGCAACGGCTGCGAATGGGTTTCAGAGGCCGTGCGATAAGGCATATGCCGTCATGGTGGGGACCCACCCATCCTTGAGGCAGAGTGCCCAGACATACCGGACCCCAGGATGAACGGAAACAGCGGCTTGGTCGCCTCTGCCCTCATGTTCTTTGTATCCCAGGTTGGAACTGGGAGGTGCCAGGCGGGATGGCGGGCATAGCCTGGAGCATCCGAAGCATTGTGGGGAAGCCGTCAAAGCCGCGCCGCACCTGGGCCGGCCAGTGGCGGCTTATCGCGGCTCAGTGCGGCGATCACATTCGGCCGGCGCCTTTCCGCTTGCGATTGGCATCTCAACACTGCACCGGCTCTACGCTTTACCGCTGCCAACCTCTCCTTCTACTTCGGGACGTTACTATCAGGAATCGAGGCCATTCCAGGATGGCGCCCGTCCCGTCACGAATATTACCTTTGCGCAAGGACAGAGACAGGCTCCAGAGGCTACCCCCGCCTGGGGGAAGGTCAGCCAGTGACAAGCGTTGGATGCGGCGACGGGAGCCACCAATCTACGGGCGTGGCATGCAGGGTTACTGTAGTCCTTGTACTCCAAAGGCGGAAGTCCGTTGTTGAATAAGGTTCACATCTGATATACAGTGTCAGTGCCTTGGTACTTATAGGATGGACGGTACGCCGTACATAACAAGGAAACTTCCCCCCTTCCTCGCCCAGCAACGTCTACTGTCTCATTGGCTTAAACATCGACTTTGCCTCTTATCAGAGAATCCCAACGCACTTACACACCAACCAACACCTCCTTGACCCTAGTCCTGTTACCCCCGAAAACTTCTGAGTGTCAATGTCCCCTTCTGCCATCACAGACTCCCCGCCACAGAACGCCGCCTACCCGGCATCAACAGATCTCGGCGATGGACTCGCAGTGCAGCACCCGCCGCCCAATTTCCAGGGCTACGATCACGTAACCTGGTGGGTTGGCAATGCTAAGCAGGCCGCTGCTTACTACACCACTCTCTTCGGCTTCAAAACCGTAGCGTACAAGGGCCTAGAGACGGGCAGCAGGTATATTGCCTCGTACGCCGTCGCCAACAACGACGTCCGTTTCGTCTTCACTTCCCCGGTGCGATCTCTGGCCCACCTCCCCGAGGATGAGCCCATCTCAGACGCGGAGCGAGAGCTCCTGCGCGAGATTCATGCCCACCTCGAGAAGCATGGCGATGCCGTAAAGGATGTCGCCTTCGAGGTCGACAATGTCGAGGGCGTATACAACAAAGCTGTCCAAGAGGGCGCCGATGCCGTTCAGCCCCCGACTGTCCTCAAGGACGAGGAATACGGCAACGTCTTGACCGCCGTCATCCGCACGTATGGCGACACGACGCACACGCTCATCTCCCGCAACGGCTATTCGGGCCCTTTCCTCCCCGGCTTCCGTGCCGCAAAGCCCACCACCGCCACCGTCACGCTCCCCAACGTGCCCCTGGCCCGTATCGATCACTGCGTCGGCAACCAATCCTGGAACGAAATGGTCTCCGCCTGCGCCTTTTACGAGCAGTGCCTCTCCTTCCACCGCTTCTGGTCCGTCGACGACTCGCAGATCTGTACAGAGTTCTCGGCCCTCAACTCCATCGTCATGGCCTCGGCCAACAACATGGTCAAGATGCCCATCAACGAACCCGCCCCGGGCAAGAAGAAGTCCCAGATCGAGGAGTACGTCGTCTTCAACTCGGGCGCCGGCGTCCAGCACATCGCCCTGCTGACCCAGGACATCATCACCACCGTGTCGGCCATGCGCGCCCGCGGCGTCGAATTCATCAACGTCCCCTCGACCTACTATGACACCATGCGCCACCGCCTCAAGACGGAGAAGCGCAACTGGGAGCTCAAGGAGGACCTCGCCACCATCGAGGCACTCAACATCCTCATCGACTATGATGAGCAAGGCTACCTGCTGCAGCTCTTCACCAAGCCGCTGATGGATCGCCCGACTGTCTTTGTTGAGATTATCCAGCGCAACCACTTTGAGGGATTCGGCGCTGGTAATTTCAAGAGCTTATTCGAGGCCATTGAGCGCGAGCAGGCCGAGCGTGGAAACCTGTAAAGTAGTTGAACTGGTTGAAGAATCAAGTCAAAAACTACTCCAGTGGTCACTAACGCACATGTCCGTACTAGTGACTGCAAGAACTTTGAGGGCCAGGTGACGCTTGCCTCCGTAACTCCTTCTTATTGATGGACTCTGCAGGATACAATAGGTATATTTATAAACATGGTCCCGAACCGGACCCCTTGCGCCAATGTAGCATGTTGTTCTCCAATCCCTGTGCTCCGTTGATGCTGCCATCCCGTTTGTCCAAATGTGAACTGCAAATTGACGGCCCACTCCACGGAAACGACGTCTCCTCGGAAGTTTGCCGTCCTATATTCGATTCCCGTATATCTTTTCTAAGTGTCATGAGTCCAGCACCATGGCTGTCCCGTTGGTTTGATGCTCATGTGTTCCATTTGTCTCGTTTATCACCTCCATCGCCGCCCCGCGGGTATCGCTTTGACATCCAGGGCAATTATGAATGACCTCGTGGGCGTAGACATCGCAGTCGATGCAAAAGTGATTATCACACACCGTGCAGGCATATCGTCCACTTTCGCTGACCCCCTTCAGCTCAGCCGCCTTTACTGGGGTCGGAGCGACTGGACCCGTCGTCGTAAGAACACCATCATGATCCTTGCCCTTGTCCCTCTTCTTGGAAGCCTTGGGTGGTTCCGGGAAGTTGGTGAGGCACGAGTAGCAAGCTTTGGACTTGGCGGCTGCGGCCCAAGGAACCTCGACCCAGTTCCTCAACGGGAAGAGATGGTGGTATGAGCGGGCGAGATGGGTGGAGAGGATGAGTGTCAGGCTGCAGGCGGGGCACTCGATGGGCAGACGGCACACACGGGTAGCGCAGCGTGTGCAGAGGTAGCCTTCGCGGGCGGGCTTGTTGTGGCAAGCGCATACCGCTGTCGAATCGCCCTGCGCGAGGGTGCGAGAGGGGAAGCCCATCATGAGCAAGGAGGCTGTGCTCTGAGCGACCGTCCGGGTGACGGGCGGGGTCGTGGCGGCGAGGAGGAGGTCGCGAAAGTGGGCATCGTTCATGCAGACGCTGTACTGGGTATCGTCGCCGGCGTTGGTGCGGCTGCACAATTCGGCGCAGATGGCGACCTGCGCCGCGAGGCCGACAATGGTTACGCGGATTCGGTCGGTTATGAGGGAGGATATTGTGTCGTGGATGTCGCCCGGGTCGGAGGACAGGAGGGCGCCGAATGCGATGAGGACTTCTCGTGTGCCATGGGAGGGCGCGTGGCTGGCGGAACAGGTCAGCATGGTCTGTAGAGCTCGGGGGCGGGCGCTGTCCCGTACAAAAGTGCACCGCGGCACATCTCGAGCGCATTCTGCAGACTCGGATTGCCTGACGGATCTTGGCCCTCGAACGTCTTCAGCTTCTCCAGGTGGTCTGTCGGATTGCCGCTCATCTCGCTGATCCGAATCGCTACGCCGTCCCGCATTCCGATGATGCCCAGCTGCGAAATTGGGTTCTGCTCAAAGTACTCCTTGACAAAGTCGGCCGCGTATGCCCAGGCTACACGGTAGCGATTCGGTAGCATGTCCTTCTCGGTCATGGCAAATGACATGTCTAGCACCAGCACCAAGTGCCTGATGATTCCGCGCTGCAGTGGCGTCGTATCTCTGAGTAGTCTCCTCCTCTTCTCAGCCTCCAAGCTTGCCCCGACCGCGAGACTGCCGTCGGCGCCTTCTGTGACTTGCTCCCAACTTCGCTTGACCTCCTCCCATCGCGCCTTGGAGTTGCCGCTCTTTGCCTTCTTTCCACTTTTTATCGCATCGCCGCCTTTCCCGTTGGCGACCTGCAAGTCATCATCGGACATGTCATGGTACTCGCCATCGGAGTCGGCCATGATGGATGATGACGTCGATCGGAGGCCTCGATCGCAGTGCTATGTCGTATGTCGGGGTTCGCTCGCTCGAATATTTCTGTCTGGCGGTCGCAAAGACCTGGCACTATGTCTCGCAGCTCACGATTTGTTTGCGGAAGAAATTAGCAGGTGATCGGGTAGGTGTGTTGCAAGAACTGAAAGTGGGCGCCACAAGGCTATGGGAAAAAGATCGCAGCCTCGCACTATAGGCCTGGAAGCTCTTTCTCTACAACCAATCAGAAGGCGCGTAATGCACACCCTTGTTGGCGGATGCTTCACATGCTACCGCACTTTACCATTGTATATGCGATCTTTTCTAATCGCTGAATTTTTGCCATTTATGATATGAGCTTGGTGCAAGCACAGCCTACTAATTTTTACCTATTACGGAGTCCAAGAGCCTGTCGGTCCTAACAAATGTGAGAACATTGCAGCTCCAACCATTGCCTCTGCAAGATGTTGCAAGGGGAGTCTCGCAACAATTACCACCGAGTCACTTGGCATGATTCTGGATGCTGTCAGCCATGTATTTGAGTCCTCGAAACTGCCATTGTCAGCGGCGAGCCCTCCCGATAATCTTCTTCTGCTGCCGCGTTGATAGAGTACGCTAGTTTGCTGCATACTATTCGACTAGCCAGACCGCTTACCATGTTGCACGCGTGTATTCCTAGTAAGGCATTCACCATGATGCACTCCTCCGATGTCAAAATAGGTACGTTGGCGGAGCTATGGTGGGGTCTGACAGGGGGACGCCCGAATCCCGGAGCTCCCGGGGGTTCGGCTTCGCGGCTCCATCCGGATCGGCGCCGATTCAATCAGAGTGGAGAACATACCCGTCTGGCCTTCCGAGTTGAGCCAGCCTTGGATAAGCAGAGAACACACAGTGTGCAAGCAACCATGTTACTAGCCTCTATCACGTCGACCGACTATTTGGTACCTTGGCGAGATGCTGTCGCGTCTTACTCCTTTTTACCAAATGCAGCAAATTTGCATCCCCAAGTTCCAATCCCGCTAGTTTCGGCCTATTCAACCAGTCGTATACGCACGCACGAGATGATGTTGAGTTTGGGTGTAAGGTTTGGCAAGTCTAACAGCCAACACTTGCAAAGCATATGTCTGCCTCCAAAGCAATGGCATTTGTCTAGCGGCGCACAAATCTCGCACCTGGGACACATTTCTATAGCAGATCAACCTCACTTCTGCAGAGACTGAACTGGTACGGCTCATTCCTTCAAGCAAAATATATCACAGTGCCACAATCATATTGGTCACGATGGGTGCTGCTTTTAAGTGAACGACTTCACATTTTCAATGATGATGTACAAATATGCTCTGGCGCAAATCTTGTTGTCCTTGGATGACCTTAGTAGGGTCTCAATTCTAGTTATACGACTCAAGATGAGACAAGTTTCGACGTTTGATAAAAAATCTGGGCACCGGATCTGAACGTTTGTGAAGATAAGCGGTCTTCATCGGCACGTTGAGATGTGAGCATCCAACCGAATGAACAAGTGGCATGGACAGCTTGTAACGAGGGAGTCGGTGGGACTCCCTCGCATTTCAGACAAGCATACGGAAGAAGAGATCTCAGTGAGATTTGCCGTTATGTGGTGTATCTTACTTTGGCGGACACGCACAACAGGCCTTCAGAAAGGCAGCGAGTGCTGAGTGTTGACATGGCCAACTCCCTGCACGACCCGTGAGTATAGCTGCAACGCATGTCGTCTGTTGGAAGAGGTGATGTCCTACGATAGTGCGAAGCTACCCAGCTATAAGCGATGCCTGTGGGAACAGAAACTTCTCAAACCAAAGGCTTCATCTCAGATGAAAAGACGCCGTGCGTAATCGTTCCGGGTCTGCTGGAAGTTCCTGATTGAATGCCCCTTGTCGACTATCCTGAAAAAATCTCATTACATCTTTGAAACCGGAGGCCTATCTACTCTGCCTGCCATGTCTGACCTCATTTCTTGTGTAACTGTCCGCCAGCGAGCCAAACAGATCTGCCTATCATATTCATAAACGAGGCCTTGTTCTGGAGAGGCCAGTCGATGGCAAGTGAAGGGAGCACACAATATATCTGGCTTATTCACCCTGTCCTTCAAGTTTCTTTAATTTGTGACAGCAAATCATTGAAACTCGCTCGAACACTCCAGGCTCCCTAATGAATTTCTTGAACGTGCCATTTGAGCACCAAGATAAAGCGAAGCATATGCTTATGTCAGTTCATCGTGTTCTCGAATCGATTCCAAAGACCTATACATTTTGGCAGCGGCTGGTCGATAGAGCTGGCATTGCAACCTGAGGTCCTGGATTAAACACAGAACTTCTCGCTGTCATACAATCATAAAGGGTAATCCCTTCTGCATATGAAATTCACAGAGAATTTCTGCCATGATTCTCGGCACTCCTCAACATGATGAAAAGCCTGCACACCATGGGTCGGTCAAAGCATCCATGAACCAAGAAAACTCAAAGACAGAACATTTGTAATATACATTCGATAGAGACATTCCTCAAGTAGTCCCCGTTCATACATCCCATGTTATATGAGTTGTGGCGGGTTCGAGGTGCCCTGCGAACTTTTTCAAACTACTAGGCACACACGCATAAGCACCCAGAAGCTATAAGCCTGGCCATCCTACGGGGGAGTAAATCAATGAGAGCACGGCTCGGTTGTACAGGTGCAGTACTCGGCAACACTTGTATCTAGTTTGACTTGGTCTTCTGGGATATAGGGTACGGAGACTGCTGCGGTTAATGACGTTCGGCAGATTGACATTGCTAGAACACCACACCGTATTAACGATAATCAAGCGAGGACCCTTTTATAAAAACAAAGAAAAGACAGACGCAAAGACAATTTTCCACTTCGAGGCTCTCTCAAACAATTGTGGGGACCAAGGTCAGAGCCGCAACATTCTGCATTGTGAAGTCCTCCCCGTCACGATATGTTCAACTCTGCCTCAGGTTTCTGCCACATACGACCATACCCACTGGAAAACTCGGGATCCCGTCCGCTCTCCCATAGATAAGCTAATGAGGGCTGGATTAGTAGTTGGGTCGGTGACGACCAGCGAATACCTGGTGTTGTATGTCTTTTGTTTTTGCGAGATGATGGTATTGCTCTTTGCTGAGCGCAGCGATCTTTTGACCTTGCTTGCCTGGGCAGCCAGGGCCCAATCGAGGTATTAGCAGCAAGGCACGTTGTGAGGCGTTGGAAACAGAACCAGTTCACATATGTGGGTGTCTCTCTTTGTTGTAATTCGTGAAGATGTATGTAAAACAGTCGAGGGGATTCGGGAGTAGTTGGCAATGCTCGGATATTCCACGGTAGCTGCCGAGTCTGGCCCAGTGTCCAAGAGCCCGGCTCCAGCTGGCACCAGGGACAATCTTCTTATTCTGGATTGCACAAGGACAGGATCTGTCCGTTCTGCAGAGCGGTAGCCAGTCCAGAAGTTCGTAATCCTGCCTGCTACGGCTGAGTATTAGCCGTCAAGCGGAAAGCTACCCTGCATGGGGTCGGTAGATGAGGTAAGACCAGCTCAAAGTGGGCCTGTGTACCGAGGTGTCCGGAGTCTACTCCTGACGTTGGTTCTTATTTCATGTCAACTGGGGTCGACTTGCCAGGATCACCGGCCAGCACGAGGCAGAAGTCAAAGTGATTCGCCTTCCTTGGAGAGTCGGTTCACTTCCACAACACTGACAGAACCTTTGTCGATGTCGATGTTAAATAGCGACGAGTCACCCTCGGGATGAATCCAAGCAAGCATGAAGCTTCTTGCTTAGAGCTCGTTGAAGTTCTTGTGCTTGTCGGGTCTGTAAATTCACAAGCAAGCGCTGAAGACCCTACTAAATAGTTGGAATCCGAGACCAAACTTTATCGAGAAGTTCGGGAACCAACCTTCGAGCCAGGAATGGAATTGTCTCTAGCGAGTGAGAAAGGAGCTACATTCGTCGAGATCGACAATAACGGATTGGTGTTGGAGAGGAAAGGACTTCATCCACCGTCTCGGCTTTCGTCTGTCGACGCTAGCGTCCGAGGGAGTGGGAACTTATCCACAAAGCGTTAGCCAGCAGGGCTGCAAACTCCCGAGGACCACCATAAACTCGGGACACGTTTGAAGGTTTTCGGTGCCAACGGAAATTTCAGCAAATTTCGGGTTGATTGGTTGGTCATACCGTGTAAGTACCATCCGCTATGGCCGCCACGCCCAAAGGAGTGAAGTCTTGGGCTAGAACTCTAGATATGCGCGTGCTTCATCAATAAGGGCCCGCCAGCAACAGTCGATCGATTGGTACCTGCTGTCTATTGAGTTCAAGTTCAAACCCTGAGTGTACTAGGCCCATCAAGACGTGAGTTGGATGAGAGAAATCAGGGGATACTCACAGGTGAAGGTCACGATGGTCGTATGTCGTGGCTAAAAGACAACCTCGGTGTGGCTGAAAATTGTGGCTTGGAAAAAACGGGGATCAGCTTTCCAGCATGTCCGTTGCCGAAGGTCCGTCTTGTCGGTTCCGGGCCTTGATATGGCAAAGCTTGGCACGAACAAGAAAGTCTCAGCGACGATCAAGGCAACGCTGTGGGTTTCGCAACGACCGATCGGGTCCCGCTGCTTCCGCCATTCGCGGTCTCAGGAACGCGTTGATAGAGGCAAGTTAAACCCGTTCTTGCCCCCTCCTCTTCGAATTTGGTAAGCCTTTCTGCCTTAATATGGCTTTCGTCTCAGTTCATCCCAAGTCGACGCCGGAAGGACAAGCATGCTCCCCACGCTCGTCTGAACGTTTAATCATAGGTGTATGGGGCCTTTGGGTTGACCTGTAGTGTACTTTGTAGTCGCGATGACTAAACCCCGACAAAGATGCCCGCCCGGCACGCTGAAGGCGGGAGTGCTGCGTGTACCGGGGTGCAGATAATGTGCGTGTAATGTGCGTGCGTGCCTGCCGCAACCCAAATGTAGCACGGGCGCCGCCGTGGCTGGGAA